GGGGGGGGGGGGGGGGGAAAAAAAAAAAGGGGGGGGTAAGGGGGTGTTTTTTTTTGAGGAGGGGATAAAAAATTGGGTTTTTTTTTGGGTTTTGGTGGGGGAAAGGTTGGGGTTTTGGGGGGGGGGGGGGGGGGGGGGGGGGTAGGACAAGTGATAGTAACTTGTGTGATGATGGTGCGCACGTCTGCTGGATTCTTGGGTTTAGTAGCGACAGAAGGAGTACAAGGGCAGGGCAGGACACGGGAAGTAAAGCCCTGTGATAGTACAAGCTGCTCACAGGACCGACCGGAAAGAAAAAAGGGGCATCTCCGAGAGACAGATCGGTTAAGGAGTTGACAATTCTGGCAGGTGGGAGATACCTGGTCGATCGGGGACGTCATCCGATGCCATGGCGTCACCCTTCAGGGATATATGCAAAAAATTCAACTAACTTGCCTTGGAATCGTGGGCACATATTGAGTCGACCGCCTTACCGGACGAAGTGTCGGCAGCAGCAACACCACAACGTTAATGTTCCCGTGGCCAGCGGGTACGTGCGGAAACAAACCGAAGGGCCTCGTATCTCACAAAACGACGGTCCGGACACGACTCCAAAGCAGTTGTTCAGGCAGAAACCGAACAGTCAAACGTAACCACCTTCGAGCACACTCTTCGAAAATAATAAAACATTACAGGTACGGCGGACGTCTAGGGTAGCACGGCTGGTACAACGTTGCATGGGAACATGCCTTCTCCGAGAAGAGCCCGGCGCAGTACCGGCAACAGTGGATGGCGTTGTCGCTGTGAGGGGAGCGGTCACGGAAGTCGATCTCGATGCGCTTCTTGTGCACGCGACTGAGCAGCTTGTCCTTCCGGTCCTTCGCCACGGCCAGTTGATCCAGGGTCACAATCTTAACGCACAAACAAATACAACGAGCACACGCGCAAAGCACAGGACTCGTTTACGGTATGTTGCGGCGCGACGCGGTGCGGTGCAGGTGCGGTGATTTGTGCGGGGCTGCGCCGGGTACGGCGCGGTACGTACGGTATAATGCCGTATGGTATGTATCGTACGGATTGGTAGGGTATGGTACGGCAAAAAAAGTCGCCTTTGGCGCTTACAACAGTACCTGAGCAAGCGAAACGAGAGAGGACCAAGAGTGATAGCAAGATGATTCAAAGGAAACAGCACCACAATCATGAAAATATTCCGAGGTTCCCAAGAATCACACGCAGCGGACAGCATGGAATGTGTGTCGTGCGAGTTCGACATGATCAAAAATCGGTTCAATGTAGAGAGAACCGCGTGAAATCCGAGCACACCAAGCACGCTTGGTAGCGTACAAATTGCATCATGCGCATGTGTCCACGCATGGCCGCACAGCCCGCACCAAAGTAGATAGGCATGTACCTTTGCGAGCTGCAGCACCATCTTGTCGTTGAGACAAGACAAGTCGATCGGCAGCTTCACAATCTCCGTTAGGTGCTCCCCGACGAACCCCAGGCACTCGGCCACAAGCCGCTGCATCTGCAGGAAATCCGACGAGATGAGGATCGACACCGCTAGCGGCACCTGCAGCAGGTGCAAGACAATCAACCAAGCACAACAGAACATTTCATCGTTTGGTTTTCGGAAGGAAGTCTCCATGAGCGGCCCCGTAGGCTGCGATGAACCCATGGACGGCGTACAGCATTCACGGTGGACAACGCTTCGTCACCCGCAGGTGGTGCTCATTCGGGAAAACATACTTTCGGTTTACACCAATTTCATGTATACACCGCCATGACGTTCGGGAGAGAGGCCATCAGCACATTCATTGGCCAGCGTGAACGAAGTCTATGCGCGTCCGGTGTGCCTTGCCCCTAGACCTAGACATGAACAAGGAGAGGCCTCACCAGGATTTCCAAACGGGTTTGCGGACAATCTAAGAGTTTCACCGCCAGGGAAGGGCGGGAGGGGTCAGCCCGCAACCCCCCAAGTCCTTCAATGCCGTCCGACTCCTTGCATGATCATGCGCCACTCCAAACCAACGTTCTGCCGTATCGCTTGGGCGCAAAACCTTCCCGTTTCCGCTATAACCCTCGTGCTAGTTTCAATACACGCGATGTCTGGCGCGATCAACCGTTGGAAAATCCTTCCCAGGAGACTCGAGAAATGTCCGCGGCTGGTTTTAGCAATTGGACCAACAGTGTACGGGATGCCCAGAAGAAAGGACGGGGGGCGGGGGGGGGCACGCCTCACCAGCAGCACTGCCCCTCCAAAGGGCGGCATAAACAAAACCCGGTACGAACGCGGCCGTGCATTCCGCAGGATGAGCAAATCTTCAAAAAATGAGTACTTGTGCCCAGCTCCACGGCAACCAGACGGTAGCGCGGCACAACAAAATATCGCCCACCTCCAGAGGAGGAGGCCCAGCCATGTCAGGCCTCGACCCGCTGCTATCGCCACCACCGCCGCCACCGCTTGCCGCTCCGCCTTCACTGCTGTTGTCGCCACTTCTGCTGCTACTATCCCTTGTCCGCTTACTCGTATCGCCGTGATTGTCATCGTGTTCGGCATCGTTGTCGTGGCTGCCGCGGCTCCTGTTGCTACGGCTGGTTGTCTTCCCGTCACTGCTGTGAATGTACTGGAAGAGCCACTCGAAGATGCGCACGTCACAGTGAACGAGGATGTCTATCTCGTCGTAAGGACTGGACGCCTACATTCATCAGGAAAGGGCAGAAGCAGGCGGAGGAAGGACAAGGGCGGGCGTCAGTTGGGAAGGTGGGTCATAGCAATGCAAGGCTGTGGTTTGCAGCCACCCTCAGGTCCACACAAAGCCGTCACACGGAATGTGGGGCAGTTTCGTTTGAGAGCGCTCGCCTAGCGTAGAGTAGGTAGCGTAGCACCACCGTCAAAAGGTATCGTCAGGTGTGCGGCAAGTGAGCTCCATCCAACGGCTAGCCTTGAGCAGCACAACCACTTCCGTGCAAACAAACACAACAACCAACAGTATAGGCGGCGGAAGAAAGCATTCCCAGATTTGCCTACATCTCTCGCGGCCCTTTGCCACAGCTTGTAGGGATAGAAAACGAACATCTGATTTTCCACACAAGAGGCCAACTCCGCATGGGGTCACGGACGGTTACGGGGCGTAAGGTGCATCCCCGTAGCACGATTCAAGCTTGCCGGTGACACCTTTGACCACCGACCGACTGTAACCGTACCGAGCGGAATCGTCCCCTTCCGCTACCGAGTCGATAGTTGCTGCTTGTGTAAAAGCGGCAAGTGTATCAATCATGTGTGGTAGGATACGACAACTCACTCCGACAAGGTAGGATTGGAAGTACTTCATCTCTCGTAGCAGAAGCCGCCTCTCGCACGGAAAATCTGCGAGTTGTTTCGCAGCAAAGTAGCAGATGCCAGCCGCAGACCAGCAGAAACCACGCCCACAAGAAATAGACAAGACAGATCGAAACGGAAGGGAGTCAAGGCAGGATTAGGGGACGAGCACTCAGCGCGTCGCGAGCGGCGGGGCAGGCGACCAAGAGTACGGCAAGTACGCACGGCCAAGGTGCCCAAAAGGCGCGCCAAAACAGTGCCGAAATTCGACAGGGGGTATAGTCGGGGGCCCCACAGCACAAGACGTGTGCAAGCGCCCAACGAGGCCCTCGCAACCAAGCGAAGCACGTCACAGCACCGTACACACCAACACACACATCCCAAACAGGTCTGGCTTGACCTCGGCCGAGTCGTGGGAAAACTCTAGCGCACACGTCCTTCTTAGGGCGCTCGATGATATTGTCGAAGACGTCTTACGCCTGAACTGGCTCGGTAACGGTGTAGACGGATTTTTGTTGGTGGCGATGAAGACCCTTTCAGTTCAAACGCAGAATAAAGACAGGGTCGACAACATGTGCAGCCCGTTCGTCATGAAACAACGGCAGCAGGTCCGTCGTTGTTGATCAATGCGCCTGGCATGACCAGGTTGCGCACGGATGGCGGAGGGTCATGTCACTCTTATCTTCTTCGCTGGTTCCTCGAAACCCCAGTGGAACAACCATTCCCAACCGCCCCACCATCAACACAGAACAGTACCGTACGACACCAACCTCTCGTTATGCCACGCCCCTCATCACAGACATGGATCTTCACGATATCGCCGCCGCCTTCGCTCGCTGCCGTTGTCCTACCCCCTTCGCCGCCGCCGCCGCCGCCGCCGCCATCAACCTCGTCGCTCCCAGGCTCGCTTCCACCGCACCCGGACCCAGATCCCGATCCCGATCCTGATCGTGATCCGGTGAGCCTCGGCGAGGTGGACGGCTGCTGGCGCTGGCGGTGGCCTGCGGTCCACGGCCGAAGCTTTCCTCGCCCCGCCCCCCCGCCGCTCCCGCCACCTCCTCCGCCCTTGGCTTTGTGAGCCCCGATTTCGTCAGCGCTACTGGCGCTGTTGTTACGCTGTCGGTCGGCACTACCGCCGCTACCGCCATAGCTGCCACTGCCGCCGGATCCCCGGTGGTATACGGGCCGGCTGTAGCTGCTGCTCTTGGTGCTTCTGCTACCGACAGCCATCGGGTAGCTGGGGCTGGGGCTGGAGCCATGAATCGGGCTCCGGAAGCTGGACGGTAAACCAATTGGCCAAAGCGGGCAAGCAGGGAACGGAAAAAAAAACACTTCGGTACAGGAGTAGCAGTAGCGGAGGTAGACCACTGGATAGCAGCATAGCGTTCACCGATTGTGGAGCCGGCGGGACGGCGTCAGGGTTATTGTTTCAGGCAACACACCAGAGGGGTGTAGGGCGAACGGGCCGACGAAACAAGAGCGACACCGTCTCAAGCTTAGTAGGCACCGTTGGTACGGGAGCCACAGCACACATAGAAGCACCATCCAAATCGATACGGTGCGCGGGGTAAGTCGTGCACGCATGAGTAGTGCTGCCATCAACGCCTGCGCCCACAACTGGAATAGGAAGCGCTGAACAAGTGACTTTCCCAAGGCCTTGTTACGCCCTGTGACCCCGTCCCCCACCAGATTCCTCCAGCCTGCCGTTAAGGCTTTTCCCCTCATCAAGCAGGTTGCTCCACGTACACCAAACCCGCCGCCGCCGCTGCTGCTACTACTCCTGCTGCTGCCATTGCCACCAGCAGAGCAAGTTCCAAAACAGATGCGATTGCGCTTCAGCACCGAACGATATCTCTCGTAGGCCGAGAGAATCGTGCGATTCTTCGTCCATTGCCCTATCACCTTGTACACGTGCGTGACAAAACTCGAAAGAGGAGGCACACGGCCGGACGCACACCACCCAACCCTGCTTGCCAGGCATACCTCCCCCGTCATCTATGGCTTCTGCTGAGCACGGTTCCCTCTTCCCTGAGCCTTCAACTGGCTCCGCGGTACCGCACGCGCTGTGTTGCCCTGCCAGAGGGTCGTGCGCAGGTCACCACCAAGCCCCACAGAACTCTTGTCACCGCAACAGACTATTAGTACACACTGAGGACATACCTTCCGGTCGCGTGCCCCGTTCCCCGAATGGACAAGGAGTCGGCTATGGCTCCTGCGCCCGCTGCCTGGCCCTGGCCTTCGCCGCGGCTCGCCAGCTTGCCCACCCTATGCGCACCGATATAAGAGTAGCCAATCCCACGCCAACCGCGCCATCCCGATCGCGTGTACGTAGCACCAAACGTTGATGTAATGCGACCACCACCGGCAAAAGGTGTGCATGGGACAGCAGCAGATCGGGGGGGGCGGGGAAGAGGGAGCGAAACAGTGGCGGTGGATGGCGCAGCAAGAACAGGAGCAGCAAGGGGTAGAAAACAAAATCGGTGAGACACGCTCATCAACCCGAAGACACGATGAGGATCAGCTCCGCCCCGTGATGCCAAGGGTGACCGTCGTCCACCCTGACTGCGCGGGATAGAGTGAAGGACTCGCCTATGCATGAAGCTAGGGCCCTCGTTAAAGCAAAATTACGTTGCCCACAGCAAGTCATGTCAAGCCAGACCTGTTCGCTGACGAGGGCCGGGGCTATACGGTGTGCACCGAGTGGCTGCGGCGCGAGGAATAGCACAAAAACGAGACGTGGAGGTTCTGTCCGATGGTGGATTGAGCCCAGGCCGGACAAGCCAGCAGACTTGTAATTTTCGACGCGGACAAATCGATTAAGGTGAAAGTGGGGATCCCTCCAGCAGAGAGAGACGTATGCTGTTTGATTGCTAGTATCGACGAACACCCCAAAAACGACGCGTGTGTTGTTTGTTGCACACAGGTGCATCAGGTTATTCCTGAGTGCGTTCAGTGGCGTCGATGGCGCTGGAATATGCAGTACAAAGCAGACGTGTCCACACAAGGCTGGTACATGTGAGCTTCCTGGAGTGCTTACAAGCTTTACATGGGTATATGTTTGCTCTATTGATTTTGAATGCATTACTCCAGAGGGAAATGCCGAGGTGGCGTAGGATATCACACCCCCTACCAATTTTCAAAGCTCGATTATTCCACGACGAAGACTAAGATGAGTACATCAAAGGAAACTTTCTCGCGAAGCTCTTCGAACGTCGCCATTTCAGCGCCGCCATTCCTATGTGGTGTAGGGGGCGTGATATCTAACGTATTGCCGCTGGTCGTGGCTGGGTACGGGTATGGCAGGGGATCACTGTTGCAGCATCAGCTCTGTGCAGACTTGTTGGCCTGCCGCGTATCCTATCGCAAATTTCGGCTGTTAGAGACGCATTGGCGTCTCACAGGTTTTGGCCTGGTATGGTTCGCCGACGGCGGTTGGATCTTTGACCTCCCACAGCAATAAAGAAAGCTGCCCAACCGCGGTGCTTTTCGTGTGACACACATAAATGACGTATACAAGAAAGAATGCTTCAGCATTTATCGGGTACCTCCCAGTATGTCCACGTGCATCAGTCCGACGCTGGTCGTGGCGAGACAGAGACCGAAAGCGCCAAGCATGGCTAATACCAGCATGTCGGTCACTTGTACCCCGACCAGTTGCGTTTCAGGAGCACAACGCCGACACACCGCGATACCATACTGACTACGGATCTCGCACCCAAAGGTAATGGCTGAGTGGTTGTATACAAACAGCCGTGACTTTGTGTGGGAAAGAGAAATACGAGAGAGAGTTGGAGAGAGAGAGAGACTGGGCTACGTACGGAGACGGCATAGTCAGCTGGAAGCGGAAACCGTTTTCCGAGGCCTGTGCTTACAAACCAATTCTCGGCAGGTACAAGCACCAGTGCTCGCGACACACAAGCTTAACATTTGAAACAGTCTTAGATCGTATTTCTCACCCCAACGAATGGATCCGGCTCATGTCCCCTTCTGCCCGCCTTCCAGCTACACACTTTACAAGCCCTCTCTTTGCTACCTCCGCTTCTCTCTCCGAATCACCATCAAAACAATCTACTACGCGACATTCCACCGCACGATCTCCGAAAAAAAAACAGAGGCTCCGTGTGTTGCGGATGTGACGCTGGGGGCACGTGCGCGGTCGACACAAAGCCAAAAGCACCAAGCACCCGAGAGGAGGGAAAATCTATGCAATAGGCGGCGCTGGCGGATTTGCTTGTATGTACAGGATCACGGCGCCCTCATTTCCTTAAGGTCTCCACAGAGGAGCACGGAGGCGGAAGTATGTCCCTGTCCGTTGGTGATGATCGGGACTGTCGTAATCATCCCCCCCGTTGTTGTACGCGTTTTTCCGACGAAAGAAACCCCAGACTGTGTGCCCGCGGGTGCTCACGGGCGCATCAGACATCAGACCGCGCTTCACACTCAAAGAGAGCTCGCCTGGAGGGCTGCAGCAGTCGCCATACCCACCAGGTAGACAATAATGTGGAATCAAGCCTTGCTGTGCGTCATCTCTACAGCAGTAGTAGGCATATAGGAACGTTGTGCGTCCGCAGACCTCACTCGTCCGTAAGCATTTTGTGCTGGCTCGCCCACGCTGTATACACCCTTCCACACGCGCAGAGAAAGCCGCTTACACCCAACTTCGCCATGGCAGCCGCGGGAACTGCAACCAAAAGCACCGTGCTTGAGTGAGCACCAAAGATCCTTAAGTCATCTCTAGACTATGTGCTACGAGTATGCTACAGCTCTGATTCAAAATTTGAATTGCAGACGACCGATACGCCGACGAGGTTCAGGTCATGACGCTACAACATGACTACTTGTAGTTCCCTCTCCCCGCGCCCCTTTTGGGCATGTTCCAAGTGGAAGTTCGTGATAATTGTGCTGTGGACCTCATTTTGCGTGTGAAAATGAGCTATTACACGCACAGCAGTTGTTGTTCGGTGAGCGTCAGCAGAGGGGATCCTCGAGGTTGACCATCAAGAGCAGTTTATGAACACATCTACAGAGCAGCCGCTGTCATCCCGTCGCATATATATATATTTTTTTTTTTCTTAATATGACACTTTTTGAGTTGTTGCGGGCAGCACCTCCGATGTGAACCCCGTCAGACATAAAAGCTGTGCATGCCAGAGTCAATCAACCTTACAGCAGGCAGCTGTTGGTCGTTGTGGCTCGAGGGCGCAGATGAGGACCTTATTTGCTGGATGGGCCCTCTCTACTGTTGTTCTATGTGCGGGTTTCACGCTGAACTTCTGATGGTGACCACCCCCTTGCCTCTCCTCACCCCACCCCCATGCTCGTTTTCTTTCACTCTGCGGGTGGTATTTGACATGGGGTAGTTTTCGTTCACTGCACTTTTTGGGCATGCTCGCGCCCCGTCCGTGCTCCGCCCAGGCCCCGACCAAAGCAGAGGCCGCTGCATGCGTTCTTCCGCTGCATTTCGCCGCCTGCGAGGACAACTCAGCGTCGCGACGTCATCTCCGTGGGTATGGGTGGCGACGGGGGTGGACCCGGCCAGCGCCATCCATCCGCCGTCGCGCAAGAGAGGGTCGTCCTTGCGGGGAGAGTACGTGTCGCCTGCATCCTTGAACCACGAGCTGCCCACGGCTGACACGCCGGAAGTCGCCTTCATCGGCCGATCCAACCAGGGGAAGAGCACCCTCGTCGGGAAGCTTTTAAAAAACCCCAAGCTCGTCCGCGCGTCGAAATCGCCCGGGTGCACCAAGACGGTGAACTACTTCGCGCTGCGAGAAGGCGGTGCCGAGAGCCCCCAGGCTTTCCTCGTCGACCTTCCCGGCTACGGGTTCGCGAGAGAGAGCAAGAGGGCAGTGCGCGGTTGGAACCAGGCGGTGGGGAGCTACCTTGAGGGGCGCTCGAGCTCCGTGTTGCGAAGGACGTTTGTGCTGGTGGACGGGCGGCATGGCCTTCAGCCCGACGACGAGCAGATGCTGTCGTTTTTGTCCAGCAGAGACGTGGAGAACATGGTGGTTTTGACGAAAGTCGACAAGGCTTCGCCGGCCCAACTTGTACAGTCCCTAGAGGGAGCCTTTCAGCTTGCGGTTCATCATCCGGCGACCTTGCCAATCGTGCACTGTATCTCAGCGCACAAGGGGCAGGGGATGGGAGAGTTCCAGAACACTCTGTACGGAGTGTCAGATTTGTAGCTGTTATGTTCCTTAGGCCGGAGCTCTGTGTGTGTATTTCCTATTTCAACACATTACCACCTTGATGGGGTTAGTTAAAACAGGGGAGGACCCGTGGCACGGATGAAGGCCTTTCTTAGGCGATAAACGTTGCACGCCTGTGGGTTAAGTGGATGGGATGCTAAGTTGCACGGCAGCTTATGGGAGGTTCCAAGTCGTCCAAAGCTGAGGTGGACAGAAATTGAGATAGAGGATTATCCTCTCGGCTTCGTTGGTTGTTATGTGCTACATATTCATAGGCGTAAGGAGAATTGTTGGCAAATTCACGTTGTTGTCTTATCATGGCGATCTGCGATATGCCAGTCAATTTCTTATTTGCCACCTTACCTTCCGTGAGCATCCTTGAAAAACGGCAGTGTTCAGCCGTCTCGCTTTAGGTTGACACGGAAGGCGAACGCCATGGAAAGGCGTTGTTCGTGACCCCAGGTCGGAGTTCCTGTATGGCCATGAGGGAGTTGAAAACTGCCCGCGAGGACCGCAAGAGGACAACTCTCTCATGCCACTCCAGTTGTCATTGTGGAGATGTCTAGCCTGCTGCACATTTTAACGTGTGCCCGTCGCTGGACGACCTCTGGTAGTACAAGATCATTGTCACAAGCAACCGAAGCCTCTTTGAGGGGCCGTTTGCATGCGCTTTAATATATAGATTTCGCACAGCACGCATCCTTGAGGCTTTTCTATCCCACCCACGTATCTCATGCATTTCTCTCCACATCCTTCCTCTGGGGTATTCACGCTATACTACCAACAACATCGTGGTCAACCCACCTACTCCCTTCACTTGAACTCGATAATACACCTAATGCGTCCTGCTCCTACTTTCCCTTTTCCCTTGAAATGTCTCCCACACACGTCCCCATACCCCGACACACTCACGACATCAAACTGCTGGCAATCACAACTCCAAAAGAACAGCGTTTACCCACAAGAAAGGCACTCCACCTCCTCCTGGAATAAACAAGAGACACGGTGATTCCTGTCCTCACGAGACGGGCATACCGTGGTTTCCCCCTACGTAGGAGAATAACTCCACGTTTGACGTCGAACCCTCCCTTCCTTCCGGTTCAGCACGCGCACAAATCCAACGCCAATAGGTGTGGACTACATAGAAAGTTGTTCCTGATATACACAACAAAACGCGCTTCATGCATGCATGGCTACGGGGGGGATAATATTGTTCGTTTGCACTATCCTAACTCTATTCTCCTTCGTGCGTAGCCGAGGAAGGTCGAGTCTCGAAACAGGCCGTGGATCCTTACGGCAGAGAAGGGTAGAATCCACTTTTTTTGTCTCTCGTGGCTGCTGTTCACACAATGACAGATTTTGATCCGGGTTAAGCATCCAAAGCCCCATGGCCTCCCACCTATTTCCCGCAACACCGATGTTGTTCAACAACACCCTTTCTGCGCGTTACACGGACGCTCCCAGGCGCGGGCGCTTGCTGCTGGCGTTTCCTCTCTCGTGTTGATCTTCTTGGATCTCGCCCTCCTATCCGAACAAGAAGCGACGTGTTTTGGGGCGGGTGAGCGCGGCAGAGGGACGAAAAAAATGTCACGCGTTGTTGAGTTTCACCAACCGGTTGTATCCCCACAATATCGCGACGGTGTACCGAGCCTGGAAGACACGAAACGAATACACAAAACAAGGTCTTGGAGCCCTGTCTATTTTGCCGGCAACGCTAGACGGAAAGTATAATGTCAGGTTAGAAAAGGCCTAGGCACGCTGGCGTTTCACCGAGAACGAGCGTCTTGAGGAAATGTGCGCGGGTCGCATACGGCGGACCGGGGGGTAGATGTCGGGTGGCGATTCTTGGTCTTCTCGTCAACGATGCCTGAAAGACCTGGAGAAAGCCCCTTGTACAAGGAGTGCTCTCATTATTGGAATGTTGGGGCAGGTATCCAGAGCCAGCACACTGATCGCCTTGTGCTAGGGTTGCAAGTCGGATGACAGTACCATTATCACGCCCGCGCATGGCTTAAGCTTCCGTTGAGGCCTCAATGCCATCCTAAACGCCAAATGTATCGTCGTACGTACAACAGAGCTGGCCTACCGTACCAATGTCCTGATGAATTTGTCTCCGTACTAAAAATTGGGACCCGAATGTGCTCTCTCCGCGCTCACATCTCCCAAGCCTTCGGCCTGGTCCATCACCGAAGCCCGGCGCTTCGTCCCTAGAACAGACGAAACGTTCGCCATGGCACCTATCTGTCTTCCTCCCCCTCCTCCGGCATCTCCTCCTCCTTCCACGCTCTCTGCGGCCCATTCTGCGCCCCCTCCCCCTCCTGCCATGGACCCCACAAAGGCATGCGCACCAATGTCGCCACCAATTATTCCGCCACCAACACCACCACCGCCACCGCCATCACCACACGCATAAGCAGCAGTACCAGCTGACCCTTCGTCCTCCCCCTCCCCCTCCTCGCCGCC